AAATCTGGAATGCGCGGAAACGCAAAAATCAGAAATTTTATTTTGAGAGAAAACCAAAAGTTTTTATAAAAAAATTTATTTTCTTTCGTGGAAGATTCAGAAAAACCGATGTACTATTCTTAAATCTCATCATAAAATCAATAACCTATAGTGCATTCGAAAGTAGACACTTTTCTCTATCTAACGAGCTAGAAATCACAAAATCAGCAAATTTGACTTTTTTGGGGTCCTTCAAAACGACAGTGGTCATCATGGACTGTGTACGACTGACTAACTGTTGCATCTCAAATCCTGATTACCTGGAAAATATTCGAATGAAATATTTACCATTGCTCCGTTATGGCAGCGCACATTAATCTATTTACAGGGACAATTCATTTGATTATAGGCTGATACTTGTCCTCAGATGATATGCTCTGTTAGAATGTTATCTGTCTGAACCAATCATGACTGTGAGAAAACCTAATATGAACTACAATATTCTTCACCTTCAATTAGTGTGCCCTTGATAAAGAAAAAACGTTCCATTGTAAAATACTTTTGAATGAACAAATATTTCTATAAAGGTGACTGGCAGAAAAAACTACTAAATCTTATTTTCTAAAAATCATATCTTCATCTTTGTATAACATTAAGTACTTCCACAGCTTTTTCCTAAGTGAAAGTTGAAAAAATATCTAAATATAAAAATTTTTGACAGAGAAATTTCTTCATGAAAGCATTTTATTTAAATATTCTATTAGTAGATCATATTTTTTCTCATTTTATAAAAAAACACTAAATGTCATTTTGACAAACATTTTTTTAACATAGTCCTTGAGATCAAAACCTTGAACAAATCACAATTTAGCCATAAGTCAGCTTGTAATTTTATTTATGGTCCAGTTGTGTAAAACTTCATATAATCAGATTTCAACCTTCATTTAAGTTCTAAGATGAAAAATTTCACTTTTACTGCATCAAGATGGCTATGAAGGAGTTAGTATAAAAATGTAAGGGTGAGAACAATCAGTTCATCTCGCTTTTATCTTGACCCATTCTCCTACTCTCAATAGAGTAAAAATGTTGATGTCTTTTAGTGAAAATGTTTCTTCTATTCAAATTTTGTGACTTTTATAGTTGTTTGTTCACTCTTGAAATATATATCCATTAGGTAGAGAACATGATGAAACAAATATAGAGTAGAGAAAAAAAAACAAAAATGGAAAAGCTAAAATATTTTAATCGAGAGAAAGAAGATTGTTCTTCAGTTTTACTCTAATCCATCATTCTGTTTTACGAGTTCCTCTTTTCTCTAGCAAATGATCATTGTTTTTCTTTTCATTTCTCTTACTGTTTTATGGTATTATAGAGAAGGATGACGTAATGAAGCGAGATTTTTCCCTTATGACATCGTTTCGGTGCTGTTTTCATGTATCTGTACAGCGACTCGAAAAACTATTCCTTTGTCCTACTTGCTTATTTCATCAAAACAAAAAACATTCCATCAAAACAATAGAGAGAAATGAAATATTGTTTTATATTGAATTAATAAAAAGGTTTGATAAAAGCGTTGAAAAATCATTTCAATTAGACAAGACTAATCAAAAATAGTTCCACAATTAAATCGTACTTTCCCTTTGTTTCCTCTGTAATATACATATCTAAGCGAGTATCATTGATACATCCTTAATATGTCGTATCTTTCGTATAAAAACTCTTCTAACATTGATAAAAAAAACCAATAATGATGTATTATTCACATGCTCGTCTCGTTCATCGTTCGCGTTTTCTTTCATTAAATTCAAATGGCATACAAAAAAATGAATTAAAATATCCAAAAATACTTTGTTATTAAAAAAGAAATGATTAATGTGTTGAAGAAATGTACCAATAGACATGGTGCATCATTTGATGTTGTTGTTAATGCTGATTCTGTCAATGTACTCGTCGAAGTAATTGTTGAGGGAAACGTCCTCGTTGGCGAAGGTGATGTTGTTGCATTGATTACTGACAAATTAACAGGTAAGATATATTCACTTGATAACATCTGAAAAGTCTCAATAGCACTTGTATTATATCCACAGGTTGGAGTATTACAATAGTATAAACCAGATTCAGTCAAACTTTTCCCTATTCCATATGGCTCATATAATTGAGACCATTGAACTATTGGTGAGTTGTTTATATTCTGACATGCACCAAAAACAACTACATCTTTATCGTTTTCCCAATAATAATACTTGACGAGACAAAGTGATTCATTTTGAAGACATGAATTATTATTATTACTTAGACATTCTATAGGATCAGTATTATTTGGATTATAAAGACGAGAGACAAGTTTTTCACGAATAGGTTGTACTTGTATTGTAGACCAATTTGATGATAAAATTTCACGTAGAAATTCGAGATCACAATAATCAGATACGGAACAATTATATTGAATATTTACTTTTACTGATGTATCATTCAGTGAAAAAGTACTTCTAATGAAAAGTCTATTTTCAGTTACAATCCATCGACGATCTGTATTAAATGATCCATTGACAAGACCTGTATTCTAATCAATTGTTAATTTGATCATACATTGCTGATCAATATCATCATTTAATTTTGACATTGAACAAAAATCAGATGGAAGCGAAGAACTTAATTGTATACCTTGAAATGTACATGGCTTCAAACATCGACTTGATTCAATGATTGGTAATGTAAATAAGAATATAATTATGAAGAGAATATACATGGTAATCGAATGTATTATGATGTAGATAAAATTTATGTACCGAGAATGCTAAATAAGAAATATTTATATTGAGTATGTTATCTACCATATTGCTTCTGTTTAATGAATAGATGATAGAAAAGCGCACGTCATTCTTTTAGGTTCTTATCTATAGGTGATTCACGGAGTTAGATAAAGAATACTGATATTATATTTTGTTTGACTTATGTTACTAAAAGTGCAAAAAGCGGACATTTTTTTATGTATTCAATTCGATATTATACCAGTGCATCAAACAACAAGGTTAAGTCAACATACAGTAGTCGCAAGAAGTCTCGTTGCCAAGTAAAAAGTATATAAACTTCGATCCTTTTGTTTGAAATGGTGCTTGGTAAACCCTGATCATAAACAGCAATCCAATATCAATAGGTCTTAATGCAAAGAGTTTACAATGAAAACAGTAGGTTTTCTGTAGGGCTCAAAAAAAGGCTTTTTTGACACTTTTCTGGTTTTCTATTATTACTTCCATTTTCTTATTCACAAATAAAAATTCACATATGTCTATATTGTATCACAGATAAGGTACTCCACTCTGCTATTATCTTGAGACATGATGTAGCCTTCATTGTTTGAAACGGTCTCAACATGGGTCTCTTCTCCATTGATAACTGCAGTGAATGCTATGTTGTTTATCGAACGACACTTTAGCCGAAAGACTTTTTGTCAAAGTAACTTCGTCGAAAAATTTTTTGCGGAAAAGTATTTCGTCGAAAAGATAGTTTGTCGACAGAGTGTGGATGTGCGTATGTGTGTAGGTGTGGATGAGTGTCAGTGTCGAACGAAGACCCTGATCCACACACCCCCAAAATACATCATGTTATAGTTAACTTTTTTTGATATGCTGCATCGACGAAAATTTTTCGACCAACAACATACTTACCACTGCAATCGTAAAATTTTGAAGAAAAACTTGATTAGATCAGGGCATTCACTGAAGAAAATTTTCAAGGCAATTGGTTAAAATTACTCTGAGATTATTGGTCACTTTTCGATGATTTCCAACAACTCTTATGTGGAAATTATTTAATAAATCAGACAAACCATAACCGTTTGACGTGAAATTTTTATTGATGATAAAAGCGGTAGTGAACTGTCGAGTGAGGAATCTAACACGTAATGAGATCAGTATTTTTATATTGAGATATTCTCTTTTGAAGAAAAAATCTATGTTGACTTAGTAACTTCTCTGAATGAATGTCGATTAGTCGTTTCGATCCGAGTTCAACATGCTCGATTTGTGGTGAAACTATGAGACTAAATGATTATAATTTAGGTGCTTTTTACCTGATAGAGAAACTTTTTATGATTACTATAACAGAATTAATTATTTCTTTTTTTTATTTTTTGCAGCAAAAAGATTTTAAATTTTATTTTAATTTGAGTAAATGTGCTTAATTAATGTTTCTATATTTTAAACTACATTTCACAAAGTAGAAAATTAAAAAAAAATAAAGTAAAATAAGCATTTTTTATTATTATTTCATGCGTAAATAGAGAATATAAATGAAAGACATAACTACCAAACAACACATTTTTTCACTCGACTATTTCCTTGACCTGGTTTACAACCAAATACTCGATCAAATTCGTCAAAATTTGATGTAGGGCCAATTACTCTAAAATAGAATTGATCAATAATACCATTGAGAAGAAGAATAGAATAAAGATAAAGTTACCTAAATTGCACAGGTGAATGAACACTATTAAAAATTTGATGAAGTGCATATGAATCAGTCATTTTAATACACCATGTTTGAGCAAAATTAATAAAAAAGAGTTGTTCAGGAGAATATTTTGTTAGACCTGGTAATTTTTTGTCCATGTTTACATTAGTTTTAGCCCAATTTTGATATGCCTATAAAAGAGAATATTTATAATAAATAAAAATCTCTCAATTAGACTAAATACGAAAATTTGTTTACAAGCGATATGTCATTTTTATTTTTAAATTAAATGATTTACTTACATAAAAAGCTGCTTTAATTCCACCATTGTCAGCAATATCTTCACCTTGTGTTTGATTACCATTAATCTATATAAGAAAATAATAATAATAGTAAATTTAAATTTAAAATGATAGAAACATTCATATGAATTTGTGACAGAGTAAAGTTACTATATTGTTCAATAAAACATTGTTTATGATCATTGAATTTTTCAATTGTTTGATCAGACCACCAAGGAATTCGATTTCCATCTTTATCAAATTCACAACCAGTATCATCAAATCCATGTGTTATTTCATGTCCAATAATCATTCCAATACCTTAAAATTAATTAGTTTTATTTATTCTATCAATAATTGACTAATACCTACCACCATAGTTAAGATATCTCAAAAGAACAAGAGAAAATATTTATATATGATGGATTAATTTGTTATTTTTTTTTTTTT